CACACACACACACACACACACACACACACACACACACGCCACCTAATTCAGAACCTGGGCACACGGTGGGTACTCAATATTCAGACATAGCCTAGTTAGCTAACATTAAACCATTACTGAGACCACAGGGCCAATCTGAATGTGCCATGTTTACCTTGTTCCCCAGGTTGCCATTGGCTTGTTTGGAGAGTAGCAGAGCCACCATCTCTGCATGACCCTCCTGGGCAGCCAGGTGAAGGGGTGTCACGCCTTGCACTGACTCTGTATTTGCAGACGCCCCATACTGCAGCAAACTGCGGGCCACCTCTATTTGGTTCTGCTTGGCAGCAATGTGCAAAGGGGTGTAGCCATTCTGAAACAGAAGAACAGTCACAGGAATGCTGGGTTGACAATATGAGTGCGTGCCTTAGATTTTATATCCTCTGAGGGAGGTCTAGACCTGGTTCTTGGCCTACTGGACACTCACTGAACAGAGCTGGTGTCACCCAGGAAGGGCAACTTGAGTAAACAAACAAACAAACCAAGTCCATGTGATTTGGAAAGGCACCCACACAAGTCAGCAAATGTCCTGTACGCTTTCTCACCATCTATTTTCTGTTATCACGCTCTGAAAAACTGCTGTGCAAGAAGTGCTGTCACCAACAGATGCTTGGATGCAATTAGGCTGCCTATAGAGCAACGAGGAGGCTAGGTAAGTAAGAAAATAAAGGGTTCCCATTTCCTCCTTCCTGCATTAAGAATCAACCCCACAACATTTCATAAAGGAAAAGGAACAGAGCCCCTATTTTTCCCTGTGCAGTTGGGCCAAATGCTCCCCTGGGCTTGTCAGCTTTAGGCAGGTGGTGTAAGAGGACATGCACCTGGCAAAGGACTTGGGGACGAGGGGTCAGTCCTTGCTCCACTCTAACTAGCCATGCAATGGGACAACATATTCAGCAACCTCTAGACTTCCATTTGTATTTTTTAAGTCACTGAAAGTGGATAATAACACCCACCTTTTTCTTAAAGTTGTTGAATAGATCAAATATAATAATGTGGAGGTGCTTTCCAAAATTAAGATATAAAAGTAATAAACCTTTGTATAGTTTTGCAGGGCACTGGTTCACAAGATGTTTTAAGTCCACGATGAGATGAAGGAGCTGGTCCCAAAGTTAATCAGCTATGTCACTGTTTATTCAGCTGGCTTTTCTTTTTTCTTTTAGTTTTGGTAGGAAGACTCTCTCAATGAAGGAAGCAGTGCATGGGTTTACGTTCTGAAGCAAGCTCCTTATCCCACTGCAGACAGGTGACAGCGACTTTGGTCATCACTGTTAGAAGCCATTTTCCCTTACATTATCCCTTTTGAGCTTCACTGCAACCATGTAGTACAGCAGATAAGGCAGGCATTTTTAATATTACCCTACTTGGTGGATAAAGAGGCCAGTTGTCTAAGAGGCTAAGTGCCTTATCTAATGTCACATAGTAAATGGAATAACAGGTGACCCGAGTCTGGCCTTCTGACCCCAGATCCCAGGTTCTGTCAGCTGGAGCGGTGCTTCTCAAACTTCAATGTATCTAAATTCACTTGGGGTCGTGTTAAAATGCAGATTGACTCAGAAGGTCTAGCGAGGCCCTAGATTCTGCATTTCTGACAAGCTCCCATGTAATGCTGATACTGCTGGTCCAGGGGCCACATTTTGAGGAGGCAGGACCCAAAGCATTCAGGGCTAAGGGGGATGCCAGGCCTCCGGACCTCTGAGCAGGACCCATGACTTTCTAAGCATATGCCCACGCAGCCCCAGAGCAGATGGCATAAAGCATATGGTTCCCCCACACTGGCCAGCATTCCTCTGGCTGTCCCAGAGAACTGAGTCTCCCTTGCCAGCCATTGTCTTAACGGGGAAACCATCATTTCTGATTCTGCCAGAATCACTGATCAGGAACAAGAAAGAGAAAAGGGGGACTGACCAATATAGTAAAATCCTAGTTTTATAGGACTGGGGGACAGGAAAAGAGCCTTCTGCAAAGTGGATTTTATGGGGAAATGAAAAGTTGTCATTTACCCAAAGAATTAAACTGAATTTAAACATTTAAATAATTATGTAAGGTAATTTGTCTGAGTGTTCCTCCTTTTCAATTTGATTATGTTATGAGAAAACATTAAATTCTTCATAGATTGTGTTCCCAAAACAAGATCGGCATTTTGATTATAATAAAATGAATTAAACAAAATGATTTTTGCACTACATCAGAATAGAGCAAAGAAAAGAGGTGTGGTTCAGTGGATCGGGCCTGGGATCTGGAGCCATCCTTAAATGACGACCATTCTCTCTTAGTATCGGAGACTGTCTACTTCCCAGTGCGGCTGTCAGGATGAAACAGAATGAGCCCGCTGAACACCTAGCTATTGCCTGGCCCACCGCAGGCATTCAGCACTTAAGAGCAATGATTATTAGGACTTCTTTTAATGTACAAAAGACTGTAGTAACTCGAGCAATTTGAAATCTATTCATGGAAGTATAATCAGTAGTCCCAGGCCACTTGGGCAGTTGTGGATGTCCACACTGGCAAGGCTAGCACCCCGCCCCGCCAAAGGGCAAGCTGGCCCTGGAGGTGGCTGGGTGTGCCAGTTGACTCTGGTTGAAGCCCAGATACAAGGGCAAAACTGTCGGTCCCCAAACCGGGACCTAAATGGAATGAATGACCTTCTGTAGGTGACAAAAACAAGGAGCAAGGTGGCAGGAGGGTCAGGGAGAGGTTAGGGAGGGCTAGGTGCCAGTTAAAGGCTCTGCTTTCCCCAAGGCGTGCAACACTGGAGAGAGACTTGCCTAAAACAACATTAGCATCAAAATTAGAAAGGGGAAGGTTTGGTTTGGGTGCAAAGAGATTTGCATGTGAAATTCTACAAAATTGCCAGACGACTTGGTAAACTATTTTTTGCCATGGAAACAAAACCCATCTGTACAGCGTTTGTGCTTGGATCAAGCTCTCTTTAAATACCATGGACCTGGCTCTGGTTTCTTTTATATAAGGAGGGGTGTGAGGAGGCGGAGGGGAGTCCAGCTTTTTATTTTTAGAGGCAGGAGTAAGTCACATCTTAGCAGGGCCCATGCTCCATCTACACGATGATGACGGATGACGAGGCGTGGGCTTTGTTACAACAGTGACAGGGACAGGGGCTGTGACTGCAGGAAAAGCGAGGCTGTAAAATTCAGATGAGCATCCATTCTGAGAAGGGAAGACAGACTGAAGGCCCCACACTGATTTTCCCTGACTTGGCTGCATCCCCATGAAGTCAGCAAGAGCTTGCTGTCTAGCTGAGCACTGGGGTTTGCTGTCCCAGAAATTATCCGGTTTCTTCTGAGTCTTGACTGCCCTACTGGATGGTGAACTCCCCAGTGCAGGGACTGCCCAGTGTCCTTCGCGTCCAAACCCTGCTCCCTCCCGTCACTCCTCTTCCTATGCAGTGGCCACCAGCCCCACCATGCCCCTCCCTCCTAGGCAAACACTGCACACCTTCTCCTCCCACAGGGGGCAGCCTATCCCCAAAAATGATCCTCTGTCTTGCTCTACCCCTATACCTCGGATCACCTCGCCCCTCCCCAGTCTGGTCTTACATAAGCAAGCCCGGTCATCTCCCTTTACTCGGGTTCCCTTAAGAGGCAATGAACCTGCTGCCCTGAGCCGCACATTTCAGAGGCTGCGTGAGGCTGGCACCCTGGGCATGTGTCTACCGTGTAGTATACGTGCGTGTGCCTCGGTAAAAAAACACCACGATCTAAATGTCTGAACTCATAAGAGGGATGGATTTGGGGATGATAGTTCACATTCAGAAGAGGTTCCCTGCTTCAAGGTTCTGGAAAGTTCACCCCCAGCCCTGAATGCTTCTCAATGGTGGCCACTGGGCTAAGGATGAGACTGACCACTCGTGGAGGTTCCTGTACTTGCTGATCTTGGATAGCGAGCGTACAAAACTCAGCTGACATTCGGTGGTTTGGAGAACACATTTGTTGTGTAAAAAGAATCCATCTCTGTGAGGTAACCTGTGGTTAAGAAGTGTTACCAACTTCCCATTCCACTCCTGACCCCAAAAGGATACCCCAGGTAACAGCTGTAAAAGTGCGGTGAGGTTTCTGAGGTAAAAAGAAAAGCAAAACACAGAAGCTCTTTGGCTGCTTTTGGAATAACCCTCTCTGAAGGAGTGGCAGCTGGCCTGTTCTCCGGGGGCCCAGGCTGTGAGAAGTCTCAGTCTGGAGCTCCTGGTGTACGGACCAGGGCAGGCTTACCGAAGCGGGGCTGTGAGGAGAGCCGCCCCGGGGAAGCAGCAGCTTGACGATGTCCAGGTGGTTGTGATGGACGGCCACGTGCAGAGGAGTCAAGCCATTCTGCAGCAGGGGGGGAGAAGACCAACAAAGAGAACAGCCTTCACTCATGCAATTTTCTATCAGTGATCCCTTTAGCTATCGGCAGCACCGTTCTGAGATCTGTGTCACTTCTTTTATACAGGTAAAATCTGGTTTAAAAATCATTCCCAAACCAATCTTGATCAGAGGTCACTAAAAAGCATTACCAGCTGGACCCAGGGCCACCTCCTCATTCCTGAGGGGCCCGATGGAACAGCGCAATCAGCCCACTCGCTCAGAGTAGGCCACCAGGTCTTTTTAGAAGGTCAAGGCCTTTGTCAGAAAGATCAGTCTTTATAAAGACCACTCTCCCTAGATGGCTGCCCATTTAAAAGATGGACAAAATAGGCTTAGGCAAGAGATGCCCTTCACAAGTAGTAAAGTTTACCCTTTGTTCTGGCTTCTAACCTGACAGAGGTAGAGAAATTCAAACTCACTTTTCCGGCAGCATTTGGATGTGCGTCCCGTTCCAGCAGCAGCTCTGCCACCCTAACCTTCCCATACTTGGCTGCCACATGGAGAGGGGTAAATCCTTTCTGAGGAGAAACACAGGCCGTCAGAACCACAGGGAGTCACAGCCATCCTCCCTGGAGAAAGGGCCATGGCATCGAGGTGTCCCACCTTAATGGGCATGGAGACGCCAAACAAATAAAGGGCACAGCATGTCTGAGCCCTCCGAGAGGCCAAGGCCTCAGGAATCAGCAGGCTTCCTCTGCCACCTGCTTCCCACACCTCTTGTGATGAGCATAAAACCATCTTGTATCATGATTCGACAGCTCGCTAGCTGAGGGCAAGGTTGAGTCTTAATCCTTCCTCTATCCCAGAACCTGTCTGATTTGTCTACAGCAGGTGCTGAGCAGGTAGCTATTCCATAATAAATGGTTGAAGGTTGGGTGGGTGAATGAGAAACTACAGTTCACCACCTTTCTAGGTCAGGACAATGGCACATCAGGCTCACTGATGGTGGCCAGTCCTGTGGGTGTGGCCCTCCAAGCTGTTTTCAGCACAACTGAGGCAACCCAGAGGACCAGATAGGGACCACCCCTGCCACCCCCAAGGCCCAGGCAATGACTAGCTTGCCCTCGTCACCGACAGGGAACAGGAGGAGGAAGTCTGTACCTTGGTCATGCACGCCTGGGAGGCTTCCTTTTCCAGAAGGGCCAGGGCCGTTTCCACGTGGCCCTCTCGGGCTGCAATGTGCAGGGGGGTGTGTCCGGCAGTGGTAGCCAGGTTGGGGTTGGCATTATTTTCTAGCAGGAGCTTCACCATGTTTGTGTGGCCAATGCGAGCTGCACAGTGAAGCGGGGTCTGGTCATCCTGGAACCGGAAGTGAAAACAAAGAACAGGGAATATTAAGGTTACCTAATCAAAAGACTCATTTCACAAAGAAGGCAAAGAAGGCTTACAGAGGTTAAATGACTTTCTCAAGGTCACATGGCTAGTAAGATGAAGAGCTGGGATTCAAATCATGTGTCTGAGCTACAGAAACCAAAATGCTGTCTCTTATTTAATCCTTACAACAACCCTTCAAGTTAGCTGTAATTTCTACTTGGTTACCCAAAGACTCAGCCTTGCCATCTGGGAAATGGGAATAATAATATCGACCTCTTACGACCAAGGTTAGGATCAAGCAGATGGTATATATAGGATGCTTCACACAGTGTTTGGTACGTGATAGGCACTCAACTAGTTACAGTGGCAATTACTGTCTCCCAAATCACATCTAAGTACACACTTGTCTTTGTTTGACACTACTTTCGTTTTCTTTATGCCAGGGGTCATAAGAGAGTCTAAACTGCTGAAGAGGAAAGACGACTTTTTAATCTCACCCCATCCTTTCTTGTTTGTGCCTGATGCAGAATGGGTTCAGTGGGCGAGTTCTCTGTGTTATTGGGCCCAGCTGGGGGCCCCCCTCACACGGCCCAAACACAAACCAGAGCTCTAACTCTACACAGAGCCTCTGTCACCTGTGGGCTTGGAAAGCCTGATCTTGTCCAAAGCCAATTAACTTGCTAACTCAGTAGCTATTCTTATTCTTCAGGTACCCAATACATTGAAAATGCCTTTAATAACAAGGGGGACTCATCCATTTTTAGATCAAGTCATTCCTGACTTATTTTCACTGGCAATACTTTCTTCAAAAAGCCGCTTCTCTTCTTAGACCATGACTGTAACCACCATTAAACCATTTCAGCCCCATAAACACTGCTGACCAGCCATGCTCCTTGGAATTTCATCACCCTAAAGAAACACAGTTCCGATGCAAAAATGTCCGTAGCCTTCTCAGAGCCCCTGCAAAGCAGAATCTGAGTGCTTAGTGCAAGGGACATGGAATGACAAAGAATCTTTGTGCCACCAGCACTGCAGCCAGGCCTCGTGTTAGGAAGGAGTTCTGCTCATTGCACTTGAATTGTTTACATCCCAGGATCCTCCTCACCGCCAGAACTCACCTTGGCCTTGGCATTGACTTTGGCTTTGTTCTGGAGCAAATATTTGGCAACTTCTGTGTGCCCTGCTCTGGCTGCCATGTGTAGCGGGGTCTCCACTTTCTGTAAAATGACAAAATTATAGAAGTGTTAATATATGCTGGGTTTCCAAAAGGACACATGCAGAGCTCCAAAGTGTGAGCCTAGAGAAGCTTGTCGGGCTTTCGTCCAAGAGGTGGAGTTGCACCAGCAAGTAGCTCCTTCAGCCTTTAGCCTGCTGATGCCTGGGGTGCGTGTGTGTATGTGTGTGTGTGTGTGTGTGTGTGTGTGTGTGTGTGTGTGTGTGTTCTAATTATACTTAAAAGTAAACCCCAGAGCTAATGAATGTTTAAAAATGCAAATGTATTTCAAGATAACACTTACATTAGTTCCCAAATTATTGTCCAAAATAAAACCCCTGAGACTTACAGATGTGTGACAAGTTTAATTGGGAAAGCATCAGTATATATGGATGTTCTCCCGGAGTCTGAAGTCTCTGCTGTTCTGAGACTTCTACCTCTTTCCCCAGAGAGAAGGTCAAGGGATCACTGGCTAAAGCATCCCTCTGAGCTCTTGGTGCTGAGAAAAGAGCCCTTGCTTTCACGACAGGCTTACCACATTGGAGACATTGGGCGATGCCCCCCGCTGTAGGAGGTTCTTCACAATGGGCAGGTGTCCCATGAAGGAGGCCACGTGGAGAGGTGTCAGGCCAGACTAGAACAAACGAGAGAGGAATGAGGAGAGAGGAATCTTTCCTGCTCTTCCAAAGAAGAGGCAGCCAGATGTTGCTAAGACAGCCAGATAATACCTCTAGCTACTCTAAACTGGTTTTCCCAAAAAAGGGAATTAAATGAGATGGATTCATTTCTAGGAAAATGGGTGGGGATTGGGGAGGGCGGCTGGGGAGGGGAATCACTGCAGGGTGATTCTGCCTGCTTTTACAACTCAAAAAATTGCATCTGATCTTGGAAAGCTCCCTGAGACTTGACACATGTTTTCTTGTCTTAGTAATCCCTGATTTATTCCTCTGAGCAGTCTCAACATTCATATACATACACCCCTGCAGACGCACAAAGAACAACTCTAAAGAAGGCTACTGGAGGAAGCCCATGGGCGGGGACCATCCACGAGGTAGAGTTTCTCCTACCTCAGTGACAGCATCAATGGAGGCTCCTGTCTTCAGCAGCAGCTCCATGACACGGATATGGTTCTTCTTGCAGGCGATGTGTAAGGGGGTGAAGCCATTCTGCAGCCCCACACAAAGGAAGACAGACAAGCAGGAGTTTATACACAAGCCCAGGGAGCACCCAGACCGCCTTGCTGATTAAAAGGCAGCCTCTGCCCGAGCCGGCCTGTGAGCCCCACAGACCAGAATGCCAATCACTGCAAATCTTCTCAGAGGCAGGTGCCTCTCACATTATACACGAGGCACGTTCTGAAGCATGTTGTCTATAAACCTTTTTTAAAAATTTAATCACATTTTTGGATGTATGAAAAGATAAAAGAGCCTGCTGTTCAAAGTTTCCTTAAGGAGAAATTTTTAATAAAGAGTACGTTTGTGAAGCAAATCACGCTCTCCCTTCCCGGAAACTGACGATCATTTTTAGTAAAATGGATTTCTGTATGTCAGCTCTGATCTAAAGTGATATACTGGAATGTAAACTCCACAAGGGCAGGGATACTTGTTTATTTGCTTGGTTTTGTTTGTTTGCTTGTGTTTTCAGTGCTTTAGCCCCCTAGGGCAGTGGTGCTTAAAGTGGGAGGGGGGGATTTTGTACGCCCACCTCCACCCTTGGGACATTTGGCAATGTCTAGAGACATTTTTGATTGCCACAACTAGAGGAGGACTGCTATTAGCACCTAGCAGGTAGAGGCCGGGGATGCTGCTTAACAACCTACAGTGCACAGGTGAGCTCTCCTGCAACAAAAATAGGCCCCAAATGTGAATAGTGCTGAGGTGGAGAAACTCCTACTACCCTAGAACAGTGCCTGGCATGTGGTAAGAGCTCAATGAGAGCTTTCTGCGTGAACAAATGAGCCATCCTTGCAGTCCCTGAAGGCTATCCTGCCTTCTAAATTCTCCTCCCCTGGGAATAGGCAGAGGCAAGTGGGTGCTCATGGGCAGGCTCTGTGTAGAGTTCCGGCCCCACCAGATCCCTGAACTGCCCTGGAAGCCTCTGACCTAGGGGGAGGAGGCGGAACCATAGTTCCAAGAGGGCATTAACTGAACGCCTGAACTCATTTTTACATGAGCACCATGAACACTATAAGCCCCTCTGCAGAGGAAGCATGCTTAGCTCAGGCCATTTCACTCGCTCCTAAAGCAGATAAAAAAGCCAGGCAGTCTCTAAATCACCCTAGGCTCTGGGCCTGGCTCAGATGTAGTGGCACCCCCAACCCACGAACATACCATGAACACTGCTTCCTGAATCAGGTCTCTTGGGCCCAAGCCCTCCCCTGATCTCAGGCTGTTACCAGGGGTGTAGGAGGTGACACCCAGCTGGATGTGGTGGGGAGTGGAAGGTCACCGACCTGCCTGTGCCCTGGTATGCCTCCTGAACCTTTACAGGCACTGACACTTTCCAGGCCCTGAATCTCAGGAGTAGTTCCAGGTGCCAGCTGGTGCCCCTCCCACGAGGCTCAGTCCTGCAGCTCTGGTCCTGTCTCCCCTGGCCCTTGCCCCTCTGGCACCTTCTCCAATGGCCTCCCACTCACCAAAGCTCTGGAGTTTGGTTTGGCCCCTTTATCCAAAAGGACCTTGGCTACTCTGTGATGGCCACAGTGGGCTGCCACGTGAAGTGGGGTCAGGTGATCCAGGGTGATGTCATCTATCTCTGCGTTGTATTGCAATAGAAGTCGGACACAGTCAAGGTGGTCTCCCTGAGCCGCCATGTGAATTGGGGACAAGCCGTTCTGGGTAAAGAGGAAAAAAACAAATAATTGCAAAGGCTTCTGGGGACAGAACATGGTACCTTAGGACATGATTCCGATCTCACTTCCTACTTCTTCCCTACACCACGCTTTGTGTGGCCCCAGAGTGAGGCTAGCTCATTCTGGCCTCCGTACTCACACTCATCTCTGGCTACACTCTTCCTTTCCACCTTGCCAAATCCTCCAAGCCAGCTCCAACCAGGCCCACCTCTTCCATGAAGCCTTTCTTGACCACCCTAGACTACTGTGGGCTTTTCTTATCTGTACCATTCACTCAGACCTTATTCAAATATTTGTTGACTTGTATTCCTAATTAAGTTTTCAGGTGTGTGTATCTTCTTTCCTTACCTATAAGCTTCTTAAGATCAGTGACCATGCCTAATATCTCTTATATGCCTACAGTGCCCTGTACAGACATGTAACACACATAGTGGTCCTTAATTAATATGGCTTTAAAATGAATTAATGATGATAAAATGGAACTTGGATCTAAATCCGTCTGTTCTTTGCCTCTAACAAACATACATCAATTAAAAAATGTGCTAAGGGGGCCGGCTGAGTGGCTCAGTTGGTTGAGTTGGCTTAAGAGCATGAGCTCTGAGCAACAGGGCTGCTGGTTTGATTCCCACATGGGCCCGAGCTGAGCTGTCGCTGAGCTGCCAACAGGTAGCAGGATGGCTCAGCTGATGTAATAACAAGATTGCCTGTTCGATGGTGGGCTACACCCACCCGCAACTAAGACTGAACTCAGCACCTTGAGCTGAGCTGCCACCCGGATTGCTCAGTGTATAGGGCGTGTGCTCTTAAAAACAAGGCTGCCGGGTTCGACTCCCGCATGGGATGGTGGCTATGCCCGCCTGCAACTAAGACTGAGCTCGGCACCTTGAGCTGAGCTGCCACCCTTAACTCAGTGGATGGAGCGTGCACTCTTAACAACAAGGCTACTGGATTGACTCCCGAATGGGATGGTGGCTACGCCTACCTGCAACTAAAGATTGTAACACAGCACCTTGAGCTTAGAGGCCACAAGCTGCCGACGGGAAGCCAGATGGCAACTGGCACCCTCCACAATGAAGACTGAAGAACAACAACTTGGCTGGTCCCCTTCCCCAATTCCCCAACACTGTTCCCCTCCCCCAATTCTCCAATAAAATCTTAAAAAAAAAAGTGTGCTGAGGATTCTCACTGTTTCTTAGACAGCAATTTATTTTAAAAAACATTAAAGACAGGGGAGACTCGTTCATTCATTCATTCATTCATTCATTCATTCAGACATTAATTCAACACATTAAGTGATTAATGTGTAGCAGGTATGGGTTAAACTCGGGGAAAAGAAGAGAACAGACATAATAATCCCAGGCCTAAGGAAGCTGGTAGACTAGTAGGCAAAAGAAGTGAAAACAGATACATCATGGAAAGCATGATCAAAGCACAGAGGTACACAGGAGGGTGGAGTGACAATGAGGGACGGGACACAAGGAGAGAAGGCTTCCAGGAGAACATGACCCTTGAGCTAGGACTTCCCAGGAAGACAAAAGGGAGTCTCCCATCAAAGGGAACAGTGTATGCAGTGCCAGAGGCAACCATCCTAGGAACATTTATGCAGTTAGACATGCAGGAGGGCCAAGTGTCATCGGGGTGTGGAGCTGGCCTGGGGTGGCAGGCAGCAGCTGCGCTGTGAAAGTCTACGAGCTAAGTAACTGGGACTTTGCAGAAAGTGACAATTGAAAGAGGATTCTCAGAAAAGGAGAAACACAATCTGGCTGCATGACAGCTGATATTAGCGTTATGGGTTGAACTGTGATCTCTCAAAATGCACATGTTGAAGTCCTAACCTCCAGGACCCGGAATGTCACCTTATTTGGAAATAGGGTCATTGTAGTTGTAGATAGTTAAAATGAGGTCATTAGTGTGAGCCCTATTCCAATTTGATTTCTCTCTTCATAAAAAGGGGAAATTTGAACACAGACACACAGACAGGGAAAATGCCATGTGAGGATGAGGCAGAGACTGGAGTGATGCTTCTATATGCCAAAGAAAGCCAGACATCACCAGCAAACCACCAGAAGCTGGGAGTGAGGCCTGGGACAGATTTTCCCTCACAGCCCTCAGAGGAACCAACTCTGCTGACAATGATCTCAGATTTCTAGCCTCCAGAACTGTGAGACAACAAATAACCTTCTGTTGTTTAAGGTAACCAACCCAGTGTATGGTACTGTTACAGCAGCCCTAGCAAACTAACACAGTTTGCTATACTTACTGTATTGCTATATTTACTGTATTTTTAAAAAGTCATACCATATTTCCCAATTGGAAAGAAGGAAGTTCTCAGTAAAGAATTTTTATAATCATCCTTTTTAATCCCATTCTAATAATCTGGATAATATAAAACCATTACTAATTTAGGAACACTTATAAGTTTAAATACAGGGCCTCTGTGGAAAAAATGTTGAGAATTTCCTGACCTAATACTATAATTGGTAATAGCAAGTCTACTTTCACTTATTTAAGGATTTTTACTTTTATATGTCCTTTCAAAGATATTATCTCATGTAATCATCCCAACATCCCTGAGAGAAAGGAGTAAAAGCTCTCCAGATGAGGAAATAGAGGTACAGAGAGAGTAAGAGGCGTGCTCAAAGTCACACAGATCAGCCACGGATGGAGAATTAAATAAACTGGTTTAGTAGAGGATACCTTTACTTAAAACACACACAGAGACACACGGCAGCTTGGTATTATGAATCATGTCCCAAATTACAGATAGCTCTGTAGAATACTCACAGGATAATTTGTCATGGAATAAATTTGCTTTCATGGTTATGGACCGTGCTACAATTTTATGACAGAGAACTTCTCACAGAGAACCTCCAGAATGGGCCTGGTTTCTGCCTTGCTCTTCTAAGTTCACTCCCTCTAAATTCACCCCAAAGAATGGGGCAGAGGGCCAGGCAGCACCAGGTGGTCTGATAGCTTCAGCCCCAGGAAGACTCAAGACTTCATACTAGAACTGGAGGATGGGCCTTGGCTCCGGCCCCTAATGAACCTTGAGAACTGTTTTGTTTTCTTTCTAACTTCACTCCAGTCTAGCCCAGGCTCTGAAGACTTCTCCAGGTGCTTAGCTCTTGTCTTTTCTGGAGCCAAGGTAAAATAGACAAGGGTTGGTCTAGAGATAGTAAGCAATGTCTGCTCACAAGTCAAATCTGAGCTGCTGCCTGTTTGTAAATAAAGTTTTATTGGAACACAGCCACTAGTTTGCATATTACCCATGGCTGCTTTCCTACTACAATGGCAGAGTTGAGTTATTATGACAAGAGACCATGGCCTGCAAAGCCTAAAAATACCTGGCCCTTTAGAGAAAATTTTGCTGACCCTGAACTAGATAATAATCAGGGCTGTACAGAGTGCCTCCTGTGTGACAGGCATTGGGGTAAATGTCACACACACTGGCTCAGCTAATAGTATTAGGATCTCTACTTCTCAGAAATGGGATTTGGTCCCAGGTTGGTCTGACCTAGAGCCCTGCCTAAAAGATGTTCCTCCCAAAAAGGAAGCACGCACCTTGGTTTTAGCTTGGATGGGTGCTCCGTGGTCCAGCAGGATCTCTGAGATTCGCACATGCCCATTCCGAGCTGCACAGTGGAGAGGTGTCAATTCATCCTTTAAAAAACAGAGTCACAGAGAGAAAGCCCCAAAGGCACCTATCAGAGGCCGTTGGAGGGAAGACTGCCCACAGCATCATTCCAGCTGCAGAAGCATGATGCTTCCTTAAGGACCAGCTCGACGCCAGCCGTCTTGTTATATCGTCTCTTGCTATACCCTGGCTCCTGCTGTGGGCTGCTCTGGGAGGCTGCAGACCCATCACTACCTGGTCAGCAAGAGCCCACCACACTGGTGAGGCTCTGGAAGGCAGCACTCCCTTCCCAGGCCTTGCCACGAAGTTCGCTAGCACCCACCTTGGTCCTTGTTTCTATCTGGGCTCCGCGGTCCAGCAGTAGTCGCACCATGATCACATTCCCCCTGCGGGAGGCGATGTGCAGTGGCGTGATGCCGTTCTGGAGGGGAAGAACAGGACTAGTCAGGGCATGGCATCTTCCTCTGGAAAGCAGCTGCTCTGTACCCTACTCCCCCATACCCCATTGCCCCAGTCCTACAATGGCACTGCTACCGGCAGCCATGTTCAGCCTACTGTTAGGACATTTCTCACCTAAGAAAGATTTCAAAACCTGTAAGGGCATGATAGTACTGTGGTTAATCACAGCAACCTGGCTAAGCCCAGGTCTCCCAGAGTCAATAGAATGGGCTGGAAGGAAGCCAGTCCCCAGCCCTCCAGGTTTGCCCCTTCTAGAAGGGATAAATGGAGATTGAGGTGTGGGTGATTAGAAACCCACCAATGAGGAGCCTCAATAGGCACGAGTGCTGTCTCACCCACAGACTTTTGCAGTACAGGGGAAACCACGGTGCGATAGGGGAGGCGGGAGCACCCAGATTCCTGAGCCCCTGGCAAATGTGTGGAGCTTACCAGAGAACCTTACCTGTGGTGTGAAATTGACACTGGCTCCCCTGTTGAGGAGTAACTGGGCCACGTTGAGGTTCTCGTAGTGAGCTGCGATGTGGAGGGGGGTAAATCCCGTCTGGGGCACAACAGAGGGGGAACAACTTGTCACATGCCATGTACTGTCATTTCTATCTCAGAATCAGCCCAGGGATTCTGAAAATGTTGACAGGGCCAGAGGACCCGATACATAAAGCAGATTTAGACTGATGAGAACATTTGGAAAGGGGTCAAGAGATACTCTGTGGCAAGTTATATTTAAAAGCTAGGTGCTGCCTCTGAGTGACCAACATTCTTTGTTTTGTGGTTCACGGGGACAAAGCATGGAGTGAGATTACCTCCACATCTGTGGGGCCATTCACCTGAATGCTTACTTATACTTATGAAGAAATTTTAATTAATGAATGAAAAGTGGTATGGGGTCCATAATCTTAATTCTAGGGATTGTTTCAGCGCCCTAAAAGGGTGTGATGACTCAGCTGGCTGGCCAAAGGGTCCATTGTCACCTTTTCTTCCATAACCTCAGACCATGCTTAACCCAGTCAGCGGTTTTTCAGACAAAACTCATTAACCATGTGGCGGGGAGACTGAGAATAACCCAGTATAAACCCATTCCCACTATAAGAGAAGAAATGAACAGCCCACATTTATAAAGAGTAGATCAGCCATGACTCAAAACATCAGACAGCAAGTTCACACCACTAGTTGTCCACGCCCCTTGGGATGATCTTCCATGTTCTCATCTCCACATGTGAGGTCACCTCCCTCCCTCCACCAGGGGGCAGCCAGCGAAAGAGAGTGGGGTAAAACTCTAGAGCACCACCTGCTAGCATTACAAAGTTTCACTCTGGCCAGAGACCCATCCTGCCCACCTGGACACTTTTCTGAATGGCCTGGAGCAACAAAAACCTTCCTTACCCCACGCCAGACACATTTTTTTTTTTTGGCGTTCAGCAGGCTTTTAAAGTGGGGTTGTCCACTGTGGCTCAGTTGGCACCATCTCTGGGTAGGGTCAGTGCTTGGAGAAATTGTTGGGAATTGATGGTGCCTTTATAACCTACAGATCTCCATGGTCCAGGCCCTAGAACCCTCACCTTGGAAAGCACGTCTGGGTTGGGGTCATTCTGCAGAAGCACTGCAGCTGTCCGGGTGTCGTCATTGCGGGCGGCGATGTGCAGGGCAGGGAGACGCACCTTCCCCTTCGTCCCGTAGTTGATGAGGTGTGCCACTACGTTCTCGTGGCCCTGCTGCAGAGCCACGGCTAGAGGAGTGAAGCCATCCTAGCCAGGGGGAAGGAGGAAAGACCAATTTGCTCTGACTGTATCTGACCTTGGTTGTCCTCAAAGCAGGACACATGCTTTCACACCCTTGCTCATAACAGGTCCTCATCCTCCAATTCTCTGCTCTTCAAAGCCCACCTCATCCATCAAGCTCGGCTCAAATGCCACCTCCTCACTGAAGACTTTCTTGGCCCCATTTTCTTTCTCTGCAACCTCACAGAGCCTACGGTAATTTTTCTTAAGCACTTATGTAATTTTCCTTTATAATTTGTTCCCAATCTGACTGAGTACTAGGAGAAGATTTTTACTACCCTTTGTTTCTTTGCTGACCCTCCCTCTCACCCCATCTACTGGTGCCAGGACAGTGCCTTAAACACGGCAGATGGTCGTTCATTTACTCATTTCACAAATACTATTGAACACCTACCCAAAGCTAGAAATGATGCCAGGCACTGAGGATTCAATTGTGAGCTACTGTTAATTCCCTCAGTTGTGTCCTGAGGGGCACAGGACCCCATAAGCTGGCAAGGCAGAATGATAACAAAGTCATGTAATCGTTGAGTCTTACAATGTTAAGGGTCATAAGAACCCTTAGCTTTTAGTCGAATTTCATCATTTCACCAATGATAAAATCAGGAAGCTAAAGTGACTTGTCCAAGAGTGTACAGTGGGTTCATGGCAAGAGCCTTTCTCATTAAGATCCAAGCAGGCTTGTTCACCATACACACCCACACTACCTTCACTCCTGTCCAGCCCTCAGTGTTGGTTATAGTGGGAATGACATGTTAGACTCTGATGTCATTTCTCTGCTATGTGTCTGGGCATTCCTCAAGACCCATGACTTTGTCTCCTACTCCCTTGCAGAGTCCAACAGCTGCCAGGATGAGTGCAGTGATCTGAAGGTCAAGAGCACTCAGTGACACGCTACAGTGATCATGACAGAGGATGCAGCTCAAGCCACGTCCCAGGAACGCATGCCCCCACAACCATGTCCTACCCCCGGAGACTTCCAACAGGGAGGCCATTTCCCAAGGTTCTTACTTCTGTGGCTACGTTCTGATTAGCTCCATTTTCCAGTAAAAACTTAACCACTTCCAAGTGATTCTCTTGTGCTGCCATGTACAGGGGTGTAAAACCTTTCTGTAAACCAAGAGAAAATCTCATTAAAATTCACCCACAATATTGAGAGATGCTAAAACAGGTGCAAACCCTCCAAACTCTAGAATAGTTCTCTCTTTCTCCAATTTTCACCTACCCCACAGAGCAATATCCCCACCCATATCCTCCGTTATAAAAACTCATCACCACTTCGAAATGGCTTAGTGGGATTATTGTGAAAGGCCACAAGGTGGGGGTGACACTCCATGGAAGTCGGTTTCTGCCCCTCACCATCATCAGTCAGCCTCACGCACACACTTCTCTATTTTCACTCCCTTCTGCATCAGCCCCCCATATCCCCTCCTACACAATTTCTCCCCCAAAATGAACCATAACTAAATATATTATTTGACTGGTTTACTGAACAGGGAAGGGATCCACAAAGACCAACCACATTGTGCTTAGGATGTGTAGTAGAAGAATGAAAAAAAATAATAACAGATGCCTTCTTCAGTGCTTGGAGACACGTCAGTAATAAATCTAGACTCGGCTACATAGTGCATGTACCGCCGAGGCAGCCACCGTGGGCCCACTATGTAACAGACACACAGGTGAAGGAGAAAGGCAGCGCCCTCTAGAGCAGGGACCGGAGAGAGCCGTCACCTGTGACTGAGCGTTAACGTTGGCTCCATAGTTGACCAGCTCCCGGACCACCTCGTCCTGACCAGCGAGGGCGGCGATGTGCAGAGCCGTGTTCCCTTTCTGAAACACATTGGAAGAAGGAGAGGAGGTTTCCCACTGGGCCTGGGTAAGTGACTGTTAAAGGGACAGGAACAAGGGGGGATGGGCAGTGGCTTTCTTTACAGCCAAAAGAGGTAGACAACACACATGCGCAGGCCTTTACCCATCATACATCTTGAAATCGTGCTGAAAGCACAAGGAGAAAAATTCTTCCTGTGTTCCATGAAAAAAATAATATCAAAGAATAAGAAAACCAACTCCTCAACACTAATCAACTACATACGGGCGCAGCATTCTGTCACCGGCTGACAGGACCCACACTAAAGGTTTGCCAAGCAAGCTGGCCTCCTTTGGACTTACAGCTCCTCCCAATCTATAACTCTGCAGGATGAAGCAGAGCCCCCATGAGGCCTGGAGCTCTGCAGAAAAGGAGGCTGGCAGGTCCCGCAGGCTCAGCTCCTTTGATGCTGTTACAGTGATACCCACTGAGCAAAAGCTAGACCAAAGAGGACAGAGGGAATGAAAGGGGAAGAGAGTAAGTAAAGTGTCAAATGAAAAAAAAAAGGGTAGAAATACGTACGGGAGTTGTGGGGAGGGTAATAAAATGAACTATATGATGTATGCAGGGAAGAGAAGAAAATACGAAAGTAAACGGGGGGAAATAAATAGAATAAAATCTGGCAAAGGAAAACACAAAGAAAGTATATTTGAAATATTAATTAGTACAATATCACCAAATAAGAGAGGAGAGAAAAGCCAGAAAGAATAAACACTAGAACAAAATGAGGTACAAAATTGTTTTAAAGTCAATTTTTTCAAAGCTAAGAACTGATAACAGAGACTAAGAAACCAGGCAGGTTCTGAGACTGAGTGGAACGTTCAGGTTTTCTTGTATGGATTCATCCTGGGTATTAAACAATTCCTAGACAGGGTTTGGGTCTAGCAGGCTTCTTCTATTCTAGGACACCAGTTTCCTTATCTGGCTCCTTCTTGCCTCCTGGATGTCCTGGGGCTGGAATGTCAGCACTTTCTCCAAGGGTGACTTGCCTCCATGACCCCACCGGCACCCATGCTCAGCGAGAGGCAGGCAGGACAGGCCCTGTATGACGACTTTTGGCAAATAGGGCAGGTGGGAAAAACCCGGACTACAGCTGGAACCATCTGTCCCTCTGCTACTTAAGGAGCAGAGATCTCAAACGACCTCATTTTTTCTAGTTCACATGGTATATAGTTTTTAACTAAACTACATAGACACTTTCTAATCCATCTCAGGATCTCAAGCCCTGACAAGCAGGGACTTCAAACCCAATCCATGTGCATCAGCCATCTGTCACCTGGAAGAAAAGGGTCCTCGCCCAGGGGGAGCTGAGAAGCAAGAGGTCCAAGCTCTATGGCCACCCCATCACTGTTGCCCCAAGAGCCCGCAGGTGGGTGAGGCAGCCCCAAGGAAGGCACCCCAGGGGCCGGAAGGGGCTCAGGTCTTTGCCTCTAAAGAGTGGCCTGTGTCAGGCAGGAGGGTCCTGCTTGTTGCCTCCGGACTTGTCGCTTTGATGTCTCCTTAGGCTCCATTTGATCAACAAAAGGGTTCTTCCTCAAATATGTCAGAGAGTTAAGTGCCAGAAATGAATGTATAGATGCTAATTAATCATTTTTCATAGAAGTCCAAAGAGCCTACATTTAGAAGCCTTGGCACTTGGGTTCGACTCACGCTGTGTACAAAGTGGAACAGGGCTGTTGGCACCAGAACCTTCTCTAGAAATCAGGACTCAGAACACCAAGTTTCTCCATTTAGAAGAAGGACGTGCGCTACGTCCATTCATTCATTCGTCATACACGGAGCACTTGTGTGTGTCAGGCTCTGGGTCAGGCCTGGAGGTACAGAGATGATTGAGACTCAGACTCTTGGGCCTCAAGAAGCTATGTTGAATGTTTCTTCCATCTGCCGCTTTCTGCCTGAAATCACACTGCATCAGAGCTCTCCCCGTATAAACCCTCTGATGGGAAGCAGGTTAGCTGTGGAACCCTGGCTGTGGCTCTTGGCCTGTGCCAGCTTCCGGAGCTGGGCTGAAGGCAGCACTGGAGAGGAATAAGAGCCAAGGGAAGCCCGTGGGAAACGCTCTGCCACGCCCATCTACACACAAATGCACACAATGTAAGGCTCGAGAAGGTTCCCTGGCCCTGGGGCAGGAGTCTCAGAGAGAGAGAGGTCGTGGGCCTCCATTTTCTCTGCCCCTCTCTTAGCATGAAGGAATACACCCTCAAAGAAGCAGGAAAGTTTTTTTAGCTATATTTGATCCGCAAAGACCCAATTTCTCCATTTCCAGGGAGTCCTAGAGCCCATGGTTGCAGTAGGTGCTGAGTGAATGTGAGTGGAGGTGTTGAAGCTCTCTCCCCGTTCACCACCAGCTTGGAGGCTAAGCTCCGGCCTCTCAGTGGTGGAGATGGCACGATGGGGAGAGAACACATTTGTTTTGTGCTTTTAAAGTATCTAAGCACAGTTTAGGAAACTAGATTGGTTTTGGCTTTTTATTCTTTTCCTTTTTTAATCTTTCTCAGGCTTGCGAGACCCATTACAAATCCCCAATCTGTTGTGACTCTTTCTTAGCCCACGGTTTCAGTTTCACCTTTTTTTTCTCTCTCTCTGCATGGCATTCAGAAACCACGCTGGCTTATAAAATTTCTATAAATAACAAAGACACTCCAAGTGTTCACTTGCAAAATAACAATCAAAGGGGGAAATTCGGAAAGAGTAAAAGTGCTGAGCCATAATGTTTTTGCAGCTCTTGGGGGAGTGCCAAGGGAAGAAAATCGGCTGTGGCCCACACAGAGCCTGTCAGATGGCACGCTGCTTGCAGCCAGGTATGTGAGCGCATCAGGAGAAAAATTAATTGCATCCCTCCACCCACAGAAGGAGCAGGGTAGAAACAATTGGTGTTTGTCGTGGTAACAGTTAGAGGAACGTGCCCCATATACATTCAGGAAGAGCAACTCCGTCTGTTTTACATGTGAGATCTTAACACCTTCAGGAAATGACATGAAAATTACAGAATTTTACCTCGAGAGATGATGCTACCTTCATAATATTTTGGTAGTTCACTTCATAACCATAAATTGTATCTGTTCTCTACAGAGTGTTCGTCTGTTTCTCTGCTTGAGAGGTGGCAAAATGTTAGCTGCGCGGAACTGAAATTGAGGCTGATGTGAGGCCATGTTTAATAAATAGCAAATGGAAAATAAGAGACTGGAGGAGGAAGCCCAAGAGGGAAACCACGGGAAGTAACAAAGAAAGAAAGAGAAGAGGGAAACAGGACTCGACTTAGTAAGCAGAGGTGACTTTTTGTTTAGTTCAGTTTTGTGTTTCAATGCCGGCTGCATGTTGCTTAATAAACAAATAAGATGCATGGGTGTAAGAAATAAAACTGTTCTTGCATCCTGTAGATGAATCGGTTTCATAACTGGTTTCTGGACTTACGCCACTGATGTTTATAACCTACTGCTATGGGGAGAGACAGACCCCTGTGAGAGGTGTGACTCAGTCTCTGCTGAATGCCTCCTAGTAAAAGAGGTTGTTCTAGGTAATCAGAGGAGACAGGTGTGGGGCAGACCAAGGAGGACTTGCTAGAGATGGATAAATGGGGGGGAGAGGGGAGTGTCTGGACTCTTCTACAGCCCTCAGTAACAACACAGTCACCAATATTTATGGATTCTTTCCTAGGCGTCAGGCAGTTTTCATACGTTATCTCATTTCATTTTCATGTTAATCCCGCCACTAAGTATTATAACCCCCATTTTACAGATGAGGAAACGGAGGCTTCTTATTGGATGAGCAACTTGCTTAAAGTCACAGATTATGATGTATCTCAGGATCTGGACTCAAGGCACCTGCCCATGGAGCTCACAGTGCTCTTTGCAGTCATTGTATTCAAGTCAAGGACCCTGAGGAAGTCTAAAGCCACCAGAAAAGGGGTTTGATTTTCAGATTTATTGTCTAGTGATGAGGATAAAGTAAAGGCCCACTGAATCTTTGTGGAAACAGGGTCCTGTGTGTTCAGGTGACTTCAGGAACTCAGAAAGAGGGAATGATTGGAAAGACAAATCCAGAAGCAAGTTTGGGTTTGTCTCATGAATAGCTGGCTTTTATGCCAGGGCTTGGGATACTACGTGAGGTACCCACACACTTGAATTTTCAATGTAAATTTTCCCCCGCTCCCTAAGAGACGTACCTTGGTTGTTGTTTCTAGAATGATTTCTTTGTGCAGGAGTTCAACCACCATCTTCACATGGCCTTCCTTCGAGGCCAGGTGCAGGCCGTTCAGCCCATTCTGTGGAGAGCAGAGAGGCAGTGCGGTTAGTGGGTCTGTGCGCCCTGCTGGTCCGAGCGGCTGGAATGACACCCCTTTCCGACAAAAGGCTGGGAGGGAAGAACTGGAGGGGCCCCCCCGAGTGGTATCAGCACAGGCAGGGCGGAGCCAGCCCAGCCTCTCCTAGCAGCTCTTCTGAAGCAGCATCAGATAACAGGAAAGCGCGGAAAGAAAAAAGGGGTGATAACAAGACTACCACCCCCTGGACCTGAATTGAGTGTGGAGAAGCTCTTACAAAGCCAATGGGGTGACCTTGACATTGAGATCTTGGTCAGGCTTTAAGGCATCCACGTAACTGAGATGGTACAGCTTCAACCCCTTGATTAAGTTTCACAGGAGCAATCGGGAGAAGCAGAGAGGCAATACCAGTGCCTCCTAAACGTTTGTAGAAATAGATGTAGATTTAATAAAATAATACATTTTGAAATAAGGTCATATGAAAACTAAACACCACCAACAACTCAGCTGTAAGATTTCCTCAGCAGAAGAATTGTTGGGTTGTCGGAAAAGTCATGACGTCTTTTTTCTCTGTTTTTCATTGCAAAAATGTGTCATGACTTTTCCGACAACCCAATAGTATGAAAATAGCCCTTTTGCCACCTTGCCATTTCAAATGTGACCAAAGCTTGTCTGACAGTTAAATTTTAGGGGGGGGGGATGAACGAACATTTCCCACACCCAGTCATCAGTCCACTGGAGCAGAATGCTCACTAACCAATTAAAGGTTGCACTGTATCTGGTGAAGCTGCTACTGTGCCCCAGAGAAAGCAGCCTGGCTCAAGTTTGACTTATTCCTTGCCTCCTTCCAGGTCTTCTGATCCATGTCCTTTGGTGCCTTCAAACTTTCTGGCAAAAGCTGATTTCAAAGAGTGCCACGTAGAGCCACAAATAATTCTGACAACGTGATGGAACTAATTCCAATGAACTAAATTTCACTTCCAACGGATGAGTAGATCTTGGCTCCATATAGAAAACGATTTTAGTCTGTGAGCAATCTCTTTCCCTGACATTTGTGTCTTGTTCCGCTCCTCCTCCTCCCCTATCACCCATTCTCCTCTCTTCCCCCAACCCTCTTTTCCTGTCTCCTGTTTTGGTAAATTATGTTCTAGCATGTTCCTTTCCAAGGAATGCCCCAGAGCCACCACAGGCTCTGGCCAATAAGAAAAATTCTTGCCACCAAGCTAGAGGGACTTGGCTCCTGATGGTATGATTTGAGGGGTCCTTGACTCACCTGTCCTCAACTAGCCCCACAGCCCCACCATGGATTCCTGAAATTCCCATACTGCCTTTGTGTCAGGGCATCATTTTCAGGAGATTCCTTGTTAACACCAAACATTCTGCCTGGGAGTGATAGTACACAAACCCTTAACAGGTTAGTCTTATTGCTTTGCTAAAACCAGCAGAGGAAAGTAAGTGAGTAATTATTGAAGGAAAGAGACACAGGACAGGTATCCCATATTGGAAGAATGGAAGGTGTATAAAACTCTCTTTACATAGTGGCCTCAGACAGGGCAAATATAACAGGTGCCTTGAGTGTCAGAGAAAAGAGTGAATTCCGAAGGGCACTTTACCTACTTCCTATTTAGATCAGGCCCAGCCTGCACCCCAAACACGAAAAGCGCAGTTGGCTAAATCTTTGCACATCAGCACAGCTAGTCTTGTCAAGGTGTGTGTAGGGGTGGGGTGGGGTGGGGGAGTAGAGGGTGAGTGATGGGAGGGCCCCTTCACCCAATGTTTCCACATGCAAATGTCTGAAATTTGGATTTTCTTCCTCTTGCAGATTTTGAACATCATTAAATGTAGGGTCCAAAGCGGTATGATTTTAAATGAATTATTCACACCCCAGTGTGAATGAGTTTATCAGAAAAAGTCTAGGTTTTGATAACAAAAGGGAGAAAGTGATTGAAAGCAAGATAGCAGTCTTACTAGAATAGAAAGCTGGGAGAGGGGGAAGAGCATTGCGCTGAAGGAAGCCAGCTCCCCTCACATCAATTTGCAAAACACAAATTCACTGAAAAGCAATTTGTCAACTGACGGTGCTCTGGGAACCTGGAGCCACGCCCTCCAGCTTTGCATCCTCAGCTCTGCTCTGGGGCAGGTCTGCACAGGAGGAGTCTCTCTCCCTTCCAGAGCATTGCAATCTGCAAAGCGGCCTTGTCCGGAAGGTTCCAGTGCTGAGCGCAGGCACACTGTGATTACTTGGGAATTGAAGTGGCCTTTGCGGCTGTGGGGCGCCTCTGCCACTGCAACAGTCAGCTTATCTCTGGGGACTCGCTGTGGCAGTAGCGAGTGTGGTGGGGGCTATCTTGTGGGTTTTTTGTGCTTCCTTGTACAGCACAATTACTTCCCATGAGCATTTGTTGGTCCTGAATGCCTCAAAGCTGGGAAACTGGCAAGTCTAGAAGGAAAACACCTACTGTTTACTGCTACTGCTCTAGTGGCTGTCTCTGCGATGTGGAGCAGTGTCAGGATCTCAGTTCAGAGAGACTGCAGACATACTGTCTGCCCAGAGAATGCCGGAGTCGAAAGGGATATTAAAGATCCCTGGATGCTGAGGAAATCAAGGGCCAGAGTAATCAAACAATTAGCTAAGGTCACACAGCCTTTCTAGGGCACGGCCACATGTAGAACCAACCTGGATTTCCCAGGAATAAAAAAGGGTTTAGGATTTATTTTCCCCTTAGGAGTTAGTATGTTTCTTTTTATCAGATGATGAAAGTACGTTCCCCCTTTTTTGATTACCAAGCAGCTTAGAGCTAACGCTCAGCCACAATAATCATCCATCTGGGTCTGGTCATGACCGCTGGAATTGACCCCAGGATCACAGTCCTGGTCCATAGAAAGCCCCTCTTCTTCCCTCCCCACGTCACATGCCTCCCTCCCAAAGCTACACTCTTTTTTTTTTTTAAATTGGGGAACTGGGGGAGGGGAACAGTGTTGGGGAATTGGGGAGGGGGACCAACCAAGTTGTTGTTCTTCAATCTTCGTTGTGGAGGGCGCCAGTTGTCATCTGGCTGCCCATTGGCAGCTCTTGGCCTCTAAGCTCAAGGTGCTGTGTTACAATCTTTAGTTGCGGGTGGGCGTAGCCACCATCAAACAGGCAGTCTTGTTAGGCGCACGTGCTGTCACCAGCTGAGCCATCCTGCCACCTGTTGGCAGCTCAGCTTGGACGCAGTGTCACTGGCCCATGTGGGAATCGAACCAAAGGCCCTGTTGCTCAGAGCTCGCGCTCTTAAGCTAACTCTTAACCAACTGAGCCACTCGGCCAGCCCCCAAAGCTGCACTCTTGGCAGGAGGTGATGCTCTTCAGCATGAAAGGGACTGTCTAAATATATCTGCATCTCTAGTAGTTTCACTTAGCTCCCATCTCGATCCTGGTTCAATGGATCTCTTTATTCTTTATGGGTTTTTTTCTCACTTTATTTTTGTTTGTTTGTTTGTTTGTTTTCAACAATAGTCACCTTAAATTACTTCCAAGTCTCTTACTGTGATGATCTGAGTCCAAGGCCCTCATCACAGCCCCAGAATAAGCCTACCTTGGCATAGCTGAGTCAGGCTTGTGAGAAGGCCCAGGAATTTCATGCAGAGCAAAGTCACACATGGAACGTGGCTATAACAAACAGTCATAGCCACTGCAGTCTCCTCCTGCTGAGCATTTACTTAATCCGATTCAGCAAATATTTACTGAGAACCTATTCTGTGCCTGGCACCAGCTAGAGGCGAGTAAAACACAAACCCTAACCATTAAAGAACTCAGCTTAGTAGATGCATAAAAATAAATGCAAAACCATGTGAAAACGCCCCAAAATGGCATGTATAAGACTAGAAGTAGCACAGAGGAGAAAGGAGTTGCTCTGTCAAGAAGGTCAGGAAAGCTTCACAGAGACCCTTGCAAGGCAGCTGGTACACAGCCAGGGTTGCAAGTTCATTAACGATGGCAACATGAGAAGCCATGTCTGAGTTTAAATTCTAAGCCCATGAGGTAAATTTTTAGAAACTACACTCCCAGAAACCCTTATCAGGTCCTGTCCTCTTTCTTCCAGGAAGCCTCTGAATTCAAAGGAAGCACAGCACCCAGACCCACTGCAGCAAGTTTTCTCCAGCAACTAGCCTTAGCAGGTAGATGGCTGGTCACTCACTCACTGTCCAGTAGCTGATGTCACTGAATGCCTGAAAACTAATTTACTGCACATACACACTAAAGGAATTGTACAATTTTCTTATCAGATGCATAACTAATCTATATAGGAGACCACTTATGGTATCAAAAAGAGTGTTTTGTGGATAAATACCATATTTAATACTTTCTTTTTCTTTAAGCAACATTTTTATTACTCAAATAAGAAGGGGGAAGGGATGAAAATTCTCTGAGCTATTTTTTCTTAGCTATAACTATGGACAGAGATGAATTACAATATAGCACTCCTTCAAAGCCAGCATCCATGTGTCTTATTTTAGTTAAATCAAGTTTTGTTTTTTTGCTAAAAGTAAAAGGGAGGTTGCTGAATCTTGCCTTGTATCTTTTCAGCTACTCCATCTAACCTTCACAGCCACTATTCTTGATGCAGAATGCAGATGGACTGAAGAGGAGAATTATGGGGGTAGGGGGAAGGGGAAATCACACGTTTCTCCCCCTGAATAACTGGGTATAGAAGGTAAGCAAGAAGGAGGTGGAGGATTCTGAGAGTAAATGCTTCAGCTAAACTGGAAGCAGGGAAGCAACCAATAACAATTTGTGGCCATTTTTAAACCACATGCCTTTCTCAGGAAAACACCACCTTGCCACATCTCTCTTCCTGAAGATACCTACTTCTAAGTCTCCAATTACATATATGTTACACTAGCTGATATTGTGCAGAACTCTTGGCTGCTCTGTTCTACTTTTCTTTCCCCACTCTTTTTTTTTCTCCTTTGATTCAGTTTTTATCATTTCTGTTGATTTATCTTCAAGTTATTTCTTT